GAAGAATCTGGTCAAATCGACTAAGAACAATATTGGGGTCAAGACAAGCATGTTCGACAGTATGCCACTCCTGTTCCAGCTTTTGCTCAACCTTCCGCATGTACATACCCCTGGCGGGCCCACCCCTCATGGCGTTCATCAGTTTGTCGCGGTCCCATCGAATCGGGTCCAGTGGTCGTCCATCCGGTGTGAGCTCGACAGGGCGCTTGTGTACAATAGATACGTGTGGCCTTTCTACTTTGGCCAAGACAGGTATATGATCACGCGCCGCTGCACATGTCGTCACTTGGAGACGTCTGCCCAATCGATGTATCGAGCTTGCACACGTAACTTGCTCAGACCTGTAGAGTGGGAGGGCGACATGATCAATCATCAATGTGCCCCCTGTCGAGCCATAAAACGCCGGACAGAAACTATGAATCGTCGTCGGAGAAAACAAACCAGATTCGTGCAGTATCTCTCTGAAGCAGTCCCCCGCCCCATCCATGATGCTTCTTCCCTTTAATCGTGCCCAGACTCGGAGTATCAACTTCAACCCATTCACCATGCACTTTAGATATACCCATCCCATCGTCGATATCCCAATAATAATACGATGGACCCGAGCTGGCAGGCCCTTCCGACATTCACGAACCCATCCTAAAAAATACGAAACCATTCTTTGGTTTTCCACAGCACGTAATCTATTGTTTGACCTGGTGGGCTTTTGAGGGCCTCGGGGGAAAATACAGGACAATCGCCAAATGGAGAAACCCACTCCTGGACATTTCAACCGCCATACCACGGCCTTGGAGAGTTCCAGGAGACACGATCATGTTTCTGATGTTGCGCTGGGCCCAGGACTTGGGAAGCAAGAGAGAGAGCACCCCGCGGATCTTGTGACGAACCCACCTGCCTTCCAGCCAGCGTGAACTGCCAGCCGCTCCCCCAGTCGTTGTACCCGATACCCTTCCCGATCATGCTCGCGAAGTTGGATGCCTGGGAGGCCAACCAAATCGAACGCACTCAATTCAGATATGAGGTCGCACAGTCGATCAGCACAGGCATGAAGAGGATTGTACACCATAGACGACAGCATTCGAGATCCCATGGCGCTGGCCGAGGGCCCTTGATGGGAGGAGGTGAAAAGGCCACGGAATGTTGTTGCATGACCTAGTGTGCTGCTCTGCCCTGCAAGCCGAGGCGGCAGCTCGAGGATGGGAGGCTTTGACTGTACTTAGCTCGTTGCAAGTAGCTTGAGCGCAGCGGCCAACAGGACTGGCACAGGCTGCACACGAGAAGCCCGAAAGCATGGACGCTGAGCTGCTTCCGCTCTCGTCCCGAAAACTGTCGGGAGAGAGGTATTGGCGCTGCTGGAGGGGAAGAGAGGAATCTTATAAGAGAGAGGAGGAGTTTGCAGCTCCGTGCGAAGAGAGACATCAGCGGGGCCCTGCTTCGTTGCCCATAGCAGGGCAGCCCTCGAGGCAAAGAGCAGTACAAGGCTGGAAAAAGGAGAGACCTGCCTAGGTGTGCCGTCCAGGTTACGGTCGGCTGAAGGAGAGGGAAGAGCTGGAAGGAGGGCCAAATTGGCCAGGCCGCCGTGCGGCTGTCCAAACCTCCAGGGGAGGAGTGCTGGACTGGAGGAAGGGCGGGGGTTCCCATATGAGGCGGGAAGAGTGGGAAGAGGGCCAAAATGGCATTGCCGTGCTGCAGGGCGGCCGCTGCAGCTGAAAGGCCTGGACGGGCCGTCCGCGACAGGGAGGTGGGTGCGCCTGGGCGCTAGCCGAGACCAGACAACAGAGACCCACCTCCGTGTGGCCCCTCACAGGCACACAGGGACCAAGGGGACCCTGCTACACCTGGACGAGGGCCAAAGAAACAAGCCAAGGCACAGTGCCGCGGTCCTCCCACGAGGCATATATGCTTGCCGCAGCCTTGACTCAGCCGTGGCGAGTCTGCGAATTGCGCTGTGCGTATTGAGCCGAAGCCAGTTGGCGCTGGCACCACACCCTCCCATGTGGGCTCGACCCCGTCTTTCAGGAGGGCGTGGCCGACCCCTCCCATGTGGGCTCCACCCCGTCTTTCAGGAGAGGCCGAGCTGTGCAGAGTAGCTGTGCGCGAAGGCCAGAGAGGGCAGCCAGACCTGCCGCAAAAAACTGCCATACCTGCCCATCCCCCTCCGTGCTCTGGCTTTCCGCCTTCGGCGGGAAAAACTGGCTGAGCTCTGGAGGATGGCTGGTGACTCGAGCCGCCTATGGCGGAGACTGGTGCGCGGCAGATGCGGCAGCGCGCCGCGCTGCGGCCGCTGCATCCAAGGCGGCACGTGCTGGGGTACAGGTGAAAAAGGGCCTAGAGTCGTCGTGGCGTGGCGGACTCTGCACAGTGGGGCTCGGCAGCTGCGCCCCTGGCACTGGGTCTGCCTGTGACTGCTGCGGGGCCGCGAACAGATTACTCGAGGCTGACAGCACAGCGCGGCAGGCCCTCGCCTCCGCTGCTGTGATCCCCGGTGGCGTACATGATGGCTGCACTGGCGACGGCACTGACACTGGCACTGCTTCTGGCTGGCGTGAGGGTACTGGCACCGGCCCTGTCGGTCGTGAAGGTGCTGGCGGCGCTGGCGCTGCAGGGCGTACTGGGAGTGGTACTGGCTTTGACGGCCGTGAAGGTACAGAGACTTGCCGAAAAAATGGTGGCGGGCATAAGCCCTGCGCGAGGCCTAGAGCAGTGGCAGGGCTGGGGCCTGGATCAGCCTCCGCCCGCGTCCTAGGCGGAAAGCCTGGGATTGGGGTGCCGCGGGGAAGAAAAGGAGGCCGTGCAGAGGGGGGGGCAGAGGGGGAGGTGAACTCGCCCTCCGGGACCACCACGTCGTCGCCCGCTGCCGCCAGCCGCTGACCGAGAACCCCGTGGACTGGAAAGCCCGCCTCGGCAGCCATGGCCGCTGGTCCCGCTGCCAGCGGAGACGAGGGGACTGCAGCCGCCGCGTCGCCTCCATGGGCACCGGGAGCGACAGCATCCGGAGAGGGAGAGGCCGCTGCGCCCCGCTGCGCAGAGGGCGTTGGCGCCGCCGCCAGCGCCGAGGCCACCGCCTGGGCCAGCTGCGATGGCTGGCGGCCACGATGGCTGGTGAGGGCTGCGAAGGCGCGCAGAAGGTGTTCTGACGCGCGCGCCTCGGCCCTCGTGTACTGCGCGCGACGCGCGGCAGCCTTCCGCGGCGGCCTGCGGCGGCTTGCGGTGGCCGCGGGAGGCGCCTCCATAGCGCGGCCGAGGGGACGGGAGCAGGGGAGAGCGGGGAGGCGGCGCGGGGAAGCGCCGATGGCGCTGGCTGGCGCAGAGCGGCGGCTCGTGCCAGCTGGCGCTGAGGATGGGAGGAGGAGGAGGAGGAGGAGGAGGAGAGGAGAGGAGAGGAGAGGAGAGGAGAGGAGAGGAGAGGAGAGGAGAGGAGAGGAGAGGAGAGAGGAGAGGAGAGGAGAGGAGGAAGGAACGCGGGGCGCTGTCTTGTCAAAAAGAGGACCCAATACCACAGGATGGTTGGGACAATGCCTAAAATAGTTGTCTCCTCCGCGTACCATGTTTTTTCACACTGGATCCCGTGGTTTGATTTTCTTGCTGCTGTTTGCAATCCGGTCGTTTTCGGTCCTTCAAAGTGGGCCTGCCTCTGCAGCGCGGGCCTCGTTTTAGGATCGGCACTTTGCTCTCATCGTTCCGACTTGTACTCTTGCCCCAGCGCGCACCATTTTTCTGGATATGAGTCGTTCCTCATCGTTGTCGCCCCCCTCTTTTTCTCTCCTCCGCCTTTCCCTGGTCCTCTTGTTCCTCCCGCTCCTGCCATACCAGCTCCTGCTGCTGCTGATCGTCGTTGTCCTCCTCCTTCTTACTCCTCCTCCCGCTCCTCTTGCTCGTCGTCTGTGTCATCCGCCACATCCTCCTCCAATGGACGTGGCCCGCCTTCCCCGATTGCCCAAAACACGGGGGGGGGGGTCTTTTCTTCCCAATATGTGTTTGCACCTGGGAGTTCTTGATTCGGGCTGGACGCAAGGGGGGGATTGGGAAAGGGGGGGGGGGTACGAAATTTGCTGCATGCAGCTGGTTTCGGCCCCATCGAGGGGCCCATTCCTCGATACGTGGCCGCCTCCGGCGCCGGGAGGCGCCGGGAAAATCAGCTACGTGAGCTGATTCTCAAACCCCCCCTTTGCTATCCCCCCCTTTCGCCCGACCCGATGGATCCTGTTGTAAAGGACACTGAGCTCCACTGGCGGTCTGGCCGGCCCGTCGCCGCCCGTCGCCGCCGCCGTCGCCGCCGCCGTCGCCGCTTGCATTGGATCCCCAGCCGCGCTCCAGCCGGCTCGTCGACGCTCTTCGCCGCCGTCGCCATTGGATCGGTTCGCATTGCAATCGCACTGCAATGATTTGCAGTGCCGCAGTGCAATCACATTGTTTTGCACTGCTTCGCTTCGATGTGCATTGCTTCGCATCGCGTTACATTGTTGTTCATTGTCTTTGCACGGCTTCGCAGTGGTTCGCATTGCGTTGCAGTGCTGTGCATCGGTTTTGATTGCTTTACATATCTTTGCATTGCTTTGATTTGTATTGGCTTGTATTGCGTCGCACTGCTTCGCATTGCTTCGCATCGGCTTGCATCGGCTTTCATTGCTTCGCGCCACAAAGACTGCGCCACGTGGATTTCACCACCCACACGCCACCACACTTCTAACCTGCAGTGCACCGCATACGCTGCAAGAACTCGTTGCTTGTGCGAGGTCCATGCTGGCTAGCATGGACTCCCCGGCCCGCTGTGGCACGCGTCGGCGGGCGGAGAACAGACGGCGCAGTCGGAGGGGGTGGGTGTGAGGGGCAGGAAGTCCGATATGGCACGAGCGCGTCGAGCTTGTCGCTTCCGAACTCCGCTTTCTCTCCGCCGCCCCCCGCCCCCGCTCCCCTCCCGGGATGAGACGACGAACGACGAGGCGAGGAGGAGGAGGAGGAGGAGGAGGACCAGAGGAGGCAACGCCCCTCCCCTGCAGGAGGCATCCGGCGGCGCCCGGCTCCCGCCTCGGGGGCCTCGGCCAGCGCCCCTCGGGCTTCTCTCTGGCCGACGTCTACGCGGGCCTGGCCGATGTCCATGGCGGCGCGGCCTTGTCCGGCGGCGCGCCGCAGGTCCCGGGGCAGGAGGGGCGGGGGAAATGCCGAGGCTCGAGCACGCCCTCCCTCCCTCCTCTCTCCTCTCTTCTTGTCCTCCTCCTGCTCCTCCTCCTCCTCCTCCTCCTCCTCCTCCTCCTCCTCATCCTGCTGCTCCTCCTCCTCCTCCGTTCCCGCAGCTACACATCATGAATACTACTCTCCTCTCTCCCCAGACTTTGTCCGGAAGATGTCCCGCCCTCTCTGCGTATTGCTCTCCCCCTCCCCCTCCTCGACAGTTGCACAATCATGAACACTACTCTCTTCTCTCCCCAGACTCTGTCCAGAAGATATCCCACCCTCTCCGCGCAATGTTTTTCCACACGGGATTTGACAAGTTGGTTATTATTGCATCGCTTCGCTCATTCCGCCGGCCCATACTTGCGCGCCGTTGTCGACTGACCGAGTGGTCTTTCGCGGTGCGGAGCTGCAGGGGCGGCGCCTGTTTTTATCATACTTTGCGTTCGGCATGTGAGGCTTCTTGGTGGCCGCCGGGAGAGTCTTGAGCGCGTCGCAGGCCGTCTGGAAGCGTTTTGCCTATGGGGACTCTTTCGGGATGCCTCTTTGTGGTCGCGTGGGGACTCTTAAACACGTCGGTCGTTGGCACTCGCTTGTGGGCTCGGGGGGTCATTTGGGGGGCCTCCTGGGGCCGCTTGGGGGCCTCTTGGAGGCTCCTGAGGGCCTGTTGGGGGCCTCTTGGGGCCTCTTAGGGGCCTCTTGGGTTAAGTCGGGCACGTCCCACTACAGGAGAACTATCCAGCAATAGTCAACAAATAGTATGGGGACTATGTGTTCCATTATTGGTTGACCATTTGGGACCAGTTGTTGAGCATGCTTTATTTTTCGTCCAGAATCTCCCTGGAGGAGGACAGGCCCGACTTAACTCTTCGGGACTCCTGGGGGCTTCTTAGGGCCGAGGGTTCGGAATGTTGTTTCTTGTTCCCCCCCTGGCACCTCTCTTGGGGCGTTCTTGGGGCCTTCTTGGGCCGTCTTGGAGGCCTCTTGGGCCGTCTTGGAGCCCTCTTGGGTCATCTTGGGGCCTTCTTGGGGGCCTGTTGGGCCCTCTTGGGGCGGTCTTGGGGGCCTCTTGGGCCGTCTTGGGGTTTCGGGAAGCCGAAGATGTGGAAACGCCGACATCTCTCCGACACCAAAGGAAAAGCAATGGTTTTTGCCTCTTGGGGCTCTCCTGGGGCCGCTTGGGGCCTCTTGGGGCCTCCTGAGGGTCTGTTGGGCTCGTCTTGGGGTCTCTTCGGGGCCTCTTGGGGATTCCTGGGGCCTTCTTTGGACCGAGAGCTCGAAATGTCGATTCGTGTTCTCCCCCTGGCACCTCTCTTGGGGTGTTCTTGGGGCCTGTTATAGCCGTCTTGAAGGCGTCTTGGGCCGTTTCGGAGCCCTCTTGGGCCGTCTTGGAGCCCTCTAGGGGGCCTCTCGGGCCCTCTTGGGGCGGTCTTGGGGGCCTCTTGGGCCGTATTGGGTTTCGGGAAGCCGAAAAGGTGGAAACGCCAACATCTTTCCCAAACCCGAGGGAAACCAGTGAATTTTGCCTCTTGGGGCCCTCCTGGGGCCGCTTGGGGGCCTCTTGGGGGCCTGTTGGGGGCGTCTTGGGGTCTCCTATGGGCCTCTTGGGGACTCCTGGGGCCTTCTCGGGGCCGGGAGCTCGAAATGTTGATTCGTGTTCCCCACCTTGGACCTCTTTTGGGGCGTTCTTGGGGCCTTCTTTGGCCGTCTTGGAAGCCTCTTGGGCCGTCTTAGAGCCCTATTGGGGGCCTCTTGGGTCATCTTTGGGCGGTCTTGGAGGCCTCTTGGGCCGTCTTAGGGTGCCGGGAAGCCAAAAAGGTGGAAACGCCAAAATCTGTCCCAAACCTATGGGACAGCAATGAATTTTGCCTCTTGAGGCCCTCTTGTGAGTGCTCTGGGAGGCGTGTTGGGCCGCCTGGGGGGCATCTTGTGCGTCTTGGAGCGATCTTGTGGCATCTCGAAGCTCTCTTGTATAATCTTGCGGGGCTCTTGGCGGCCTCTTGGCCTTTCTTAGGGCTCTCTGGGCGGCCTCGAGGGCGGCGCCCAGGAGGAAAACCAGCTTTGACCCGCAGCGCCCCGGCTTCGCCCGGGTATTTCCTTCTGGGGACCCCCAGGGGCCGCCCCGCGCGCTAAGTAGAGTTATTGTAAAGCAGTTGCTGGAGATCTTAGCACGCCTCTGGCCCTGTGGGCGCCGGCGAATCGAGGACGCCGGCGGCGCATCACCGGCTGCTCCCTGGGAGTTTGCCGCGACGCGGCGCGTATGCCAGCTATCACATGACCGTCGGCCCATCCCGCCACCGTGCTTGGGTTTTGGGTCGGAGTCCTCATGGACGCTTCTCGGGGTCTCTCGAGAGGGCTCTCGGAGGCCTCTGCGGGGGAGTTGAGGGGCCTCTTGGGGGCCTCCTGGGGGCTTCTTGGGAGCCTCTTGGGGCCCTCTTGGTGCCTCTTGGGGCTCTCTTGGGGCCTCTTGGGGGCCTCCTGGGGTCTTCTTAGAGCCTCCTGGGGGCGTCTTTGGACCGAAAGCTCGACATGTTCAGTAACGTTCCCCTTCTGGGCGCCCTCTTGGGGCCGTCCTGGGACCCCTCTTGGGCCGTCCCGGGGGCCTCTTGAGCCGTCTTGGGGCCCTCTTGCGCTGTCTTGGAGCCCTCTTGGGGCTTGTTGGGCCGTCCTGGGGCGATCTTGGGGGCCTCTTGGGCCACCTTGGAGCGTCGGTAAGCCGAAATGGCGCAGCGAACATCTCCCAAAAACCATAGAAAGATCAATGATTTCTGTCTCTTGGGGCTCTCTTTGGGGGGTGCTCTTTGAGGCTTCTTCGGCCCTCTTAGAGGCGTTTTGGGCTGTTTGGAGGCAATCTTGGGCGTCTTGGAGCGATCTGGGGTCGTCTGGAGGCTCTCTTGGACAGTCTTGGGACTCTCTTGGGCCGTCTTGGGGCGCTCATGGGTCGTCCCCAGGCTGTTCCGCCAGGGGGAGGGGGGGTCCGACGGCAGAGTGGGGCCCCCTCGGAGGGACTTCAGGGAGGTTTTTGACCAGGCACTGGCGAAGGGGGCCAAAGATTGTGCCTCTGGCCCTTGGGCGGCCGGATCGAGAACGCCGGCGGCGGGCGCATCACCGGCCGCTCCGGGCCCTGGGAGTTTGACGCAGCGTCTCGGGAGCCTCTTGAAGGCAGTTTTGAAGCCTCTTCAGCTCCTCTTAGGGGCCGTTAGGTGGCCTCTTGGGGCTTCTTTTGGTCCTCTTTTCGGCTTATTGGGAGCTTCTTGGGGCCCATCGAATGTGTCTTGGGAGCCTGCTGGCGGGGTCGGGGGTCTCGTTGTGGCGGCAAGCTCGAAATGTCCTTTCGATTTCCGCCTCTTGGGGCTCTCTTGTGGCACTCTTGGGCCGCTTTGGGCTTCTCTTGGGTCGTCTTGGGGTGCCCGTGGGCTGTATTTGGGCTCTCTGAGGGTCTTTTGGGGCCATCTTGGGGTGACCGCGGGGGCCTCTTGGGCCGTCGTGGACGCTCTGAAGGCCACAAGTCTGATATACTAAAATTGCACATTTCCTCAAGGGAACTGGACGACTTGTGCTTGTTGGGGCTCTCTTTGTAGGGCTCTTGACGTCTTCTGAGGGTCTCCTGCGGGTCTCCTGGGGCCTCTTGGGAGGCTTCCTGGGAGCTCCTTGATGCCTCCTGGGGGCCTCTTGGGGCCTCCTGGCGGTCCTTGGAGCGGAAGGCTCGAGCTTTCCGTTCGTGGCCCCCCTCCTGGCCCCCTCTTGGGCTCTTCTTGGGGCCCTCTTGGGCCGTCTTGGGCGCCTCGTGCGCCGTCTTGGGGCTCTCTTGGGCTGTCTTGGGGCCCTCTTGGAGGCTTCTTGGGCTGTCTTGGGGCGGTCCTCTTGGGCCGTCTTGGAGCGTCCGAAAGCCTAGAAAGTGAAGTTGAGAAAAATGTGCGTTTCATAAAGGGATTGAGGCAATTGTTGCGTCTGGGGACATTGGGGCGCATCTTGGAGGCTTGTTGGGGCATCGCAGGGGCGTCTGGGGACGTCTGGAGGCCATCTGGAGTGGCTGAGAACAATCTGGAGCCGTCTGGATGCTCTCCAGGGCCGTCGTGGGGCCGTCTTGGGGCGCTCGCGGGTCGCCCCCGGGCGTTTGTAGGGTCGTCTTGGGGTTCTTGAGTCGTTCAAATTGGGGGGGGTCTGTGAGGGACCGCGAATTCTGCAAGTTTTGACCAGACCCTGGCGAATCCTGCCAGGCACGCTGACAGAGCAAACCTGAACGGGCGGACAATCCTTCGTGGGCGTACATGTGCCCGCCATTGGAATTGGTGTGGGCCCTGCGAAAAGGGGAGGGGGAGAACGACGGAGAGTGGGAGGAAGGGAGGGGGAGGGACGAAGGAAGAGGGAAAACGCCAGGAGAGAAGGAGCGAAGAGGGGGGCGGTTGATTAGAGGCAGAGAGAGGGAGAGAGAACGACACATAAGAGAGGTAGAGCAAGAGGGAGAGAGAGGGGAGAGAGAGAGAGAGAGAGAGAAAGAAAGAAATAAAGAAAGACACACAAGAAAGAAAGAGGGAGGGAGGAGGCAGGAGAGGGGAGGGAGAAGGGAGGAGGGAGAGGAGGGAGAGGGGATAGGGCAGAGAGGCATAAGGATGAGGGAAGATAGGAGGGAGAGAGAAGGGAGGAGAGGAGGGAGGAGGATGGAGGGAGAGGGAGGAGGAGCAGGACGGTAAGAGCGTGAACGTTCGAGGAAGTCCTAGGCGAAAGCGCCGTTCCTGAAAGAAGTCTCGGGCGGGAGCCCGCGACGGGCGGGCGATCCCTTGACGTGCGCTGAATATGGCGAGAGCGGGATTATTCAGTAAATTACAGCGGCGTCCTTGGCGCAGCGTGTTTCCTGAGCGTCGAAAGCGCGATTTCTGAATACATTGCATGGACGTCACAGGCGAGAGCGCAATTCCATAATAAATGTGAAGGGTCTCAAGAACGCTGTTCCAGAGACCTGGGGATGCTGG